GCAAGACGATATGCACCCACAACAGAGCCAGTGTGTCCATTGTGAAGAATGTGGAGAAGGTGGCGGCTCTCAAGCCACTGAAAGGCCTAACTTTACTTTGTATTGTATATTTTGAACAGATGTAAATTTTAACAGGACAGTTAATGAGGCTTCTTTCCTTTTATTCCTTAAAAGTATAGAGAATAAAGCTGAGTACATTCAATAATTAGATATTTTATTTTTAAACTATAAGGTAAGGTTTCAGCTCATTAATTCCCTATTATATACTAAGTTTGATCCAGCCACTTGGGAGGCTTTAACGCAAAAGCTCATGGTCAGTCTGGGCAATAGAGCGAGACACCCCCCAATCTCAGAAACAGAAACAAAACCCAAACTAAAATATATAGACTATAATTCTTTGAAGTTGCACGCCAAGAAGGTACACTGAAACTAACAACAAACAGGCATGTACAAAACCACAGTGACACACTGTGGAGGCTAATGACAGTCTATTGTAACAAGATGGCAGAGGATACAGGACATGGCTGAGACTATGGAGGCCACATCCAGTAGCAGTGTCATCTGAATGAGACCTTTCTAGTTTATGGATCTCAATCGGCTCATTTGCACAATGAAGTAGCTGAGCCAGAATCACACACAGCGTCCTTCCTGGGACTAGCTCCATAATGCTATGACCTCAGACCTCCCATGAATCTAGTCACTTTTCATGCTGTTTAAAAAGCCTATCTTATACATGATAATAAGAAAAGGCTCGCATTCAAAATTAAATCTCTGATGCATTTGATGGTATATTTATAAGATAGAACCTTGATAAAATCAAGCCATGCCCATTTTGACAAAGAACTAATTAAGAAATACAACTAACCAGGTGCTAGAGACACTCAGGTTCATATTTCTCAAGGTTGGCTGTCAGCTTCATGACTCAGAGTAGTCAAGGCATTTTAGTGCCTAGGGCAACATTATGTTTATCAGGGACTTTTTAAATTAGCATAGATCATTTCACATATTCTTTTCCTCCAGGAATTATCACTGTCTAATACACGTTCAACAAATTCCTCGGAGGTGATTGTCTGCCTGTCTCTAATTTTTTAAAGTGCTAGAGATTGAATCAGTGTCTCGTGTTGCTAGGCAAGCAATCTAACCCTGAATTATACCTACTGCTCTCTTGTAGGATTCTATTATAACACATGCATTCATATATGACAGATCAAATTATATTCTTCAAGTAAATAAATCCATTCACCTTACCTTTAAACCCTGATCTGAGTTCCATCTTCTCTGTGGGAATGTCCCTATTCCTGGCCCAAATGGATTCATACCCTGTATGACTCTTGTTTTACATATTAGTGTTGTTAATGATTCTTGCTTTTGTAGGAATTCAACCCAAGGCTCTGTGCATGATAACCAATCTACATTCTGGGCCTAACGATTTCATTTTAAAAACTATTTTAATTTGTATATTGTATGCTTCCTTGAGATGGATTAGAATTAGAGTTTGGATTTTAAGGGCTAGGTTTGCCATTTGAAGAACTAGTATGCTGGGAGATGAAGGTAAAGGTAAGTCTGCAGCAAAGAGATCAAAACTGGAAACTACAGTCTAAACTAAGACCATGACACAGTGAGTCTATCAAAGTAAAAGAGAGTACAGGCAGTGAGAGTTCTCTGAAGTAAGTTGTTCCTTACGGACACTGGCACATCAGGAAGAGGAAGGTCAACACCAATTTCATAGGAACAGCTAAATATAGAAAACTATAGTATCTCCTCTGGCTGACACAGAATCAATGGAGAAGAATACATTAGAGGTAGGAGTACATAGCCTTAGTTTCAACAGTCAGCATGGTGCAAGTTGGGGACACCAGTAAAACTCGATTTTTCATTGCATTCCATACTAAACCAAACCCTGTTACTGCCCCCATGCTAATGTTATATTTCCATTGCAGTGATTTATCTAGGTTGTAAATTTAATATAGAATTGTTATGAGTTGATGATGTGTATCTTTTCAAAACTCCTGTGTTAAATTTCTAAGCCTCACCATGATGGTTTTTAGAGATAATTAGGTGATGAGGATAGAATTTTCACAAGTAGGATTCGTGCTTTTACAAAACAGGCTGTCCTGTGAGGTTGCAACAGAGCTGCAAACCAAAGTCTACCCTCAATAGACACCAGATCTACTAGTACCTTGATCTTGGACTTGTCAGTCTCCATACTGTGAGAACTGTTCCTTATGTAAGCCATTATAAGCTACTGCATATTTGTTATAACCGCTCTGACCTAAGACAAGCATTTAACTAATTCTGTAAGACTGGTGTTGATTAGCAGAATGAATAGCTTCCTGGGACCTAGTGTTGAGCCTGGCTTTCTAAGTATACCAGCCATGTCTTGCTTCTTTATATTCTCCAATCTGGTGTAGCATGCAGGGAATCTCTCAATCTTTATATCAAGACTTTGACTTTACCCAACTTATCTCCCCCATTTGAAAGGGATGCTGTTCTAAGCTTGACTTTCTTGCTGTATTTTGCTAGTCAATTCTACCCACTCCTTGTAAATGACATAACACAAAAATCTCATGACACTGCCAAATGTCTTCTGGGAGGCAAAATCACTATCATTTGAGAAGTGCTGGTCTATGTCAAGCCTCACCTATCATTTTGATTTTGTATAATGAAACTAATTCCTGCATCTTCCACAATTCAATCACGCCCTGATTTTGCCTTCATAGCATATCAATCTGTGTCTCTTCACTTAAAAAAATAACTGGATATCCTGTCTTCCTCCAACAACTACTCACTCTCCTCTGTCACTTTTTTGGAAGTGAAACTTGGAGAATGAATTCCACTTGTTTGTCACTTTGATTCTGGTGCAAAGCTACCAGGGTCCTTTTGACTACCAAATGCTCAGATAATCCAAATGCTTGGCTGGCACATGTGTCCAACCTGCAGCCTACATCCCACATGTTCAAGGACAGCCATGAAGGTGACCCAACACAAGATCATAACCTTATTTAAAACAGTAGAGATTTATAAGTGCATGTGTATGTTTGTGATTTTCTTCTTTGTCTTTTAACTCTGCTACATATGGGTTTCAAGCAGGAACTTTGTAGACAGCAAGGTAGTGTCATAATGTCAAATGCCTAGATATGTTCTTTGCTTCATCCTTAGCTTCCAGGGCATTTTTTCCTGCTGTTTTCCAATCTACTCTTTTTTGACTCCCTTAATATTAACATCAACTGGGTTCTGCCTTTGGCTTCCTTCTCTTCTGATTCCATAGACATTATCAGGTTCACTGCCTTCAGCACAAACTCTGCTTTCCAACAGGGTAGACTGACTAACCCAATTCCTCTTCATGTGGTTTTGGAGCTCTACTTTCTCTCAAATTCTAGTCTGGCATTTCTGGACACTTGTGACTGTTTCTACCTGGGTACTCTGAACATATCAGCAGTAAACTGAAATATCTAAAACTGAGCTAATCAGCTCTTATTGTCCACCTTGTCTCACCTCATTGTCCTCAAAACTTCATAGCTCATTAATTCTGTAGTACTGTCACCTATTTAGTTATATAATAATCCAGTGACCTCAGAGTTATCTTATGTTCTATGTCACGAAGTAACTGAATCAATGAGAAGCTTGGCAATCACAGCTTCTGCCTACCTCTCATTCCCTCTAGTTCAGTCTTCTGTATTTTATTTCTATGTATCCCTAACAAATTTCCTCATGTTAGGTTTTAGTTACCTCCATTCTAACCACCCGTGCTAGTGCTAAAATTAAAAATCCTTTTATATCATCTCCTGGGGCAGTTCCTCCAGGGGAACCCTTGTCTGGAGGATAAAATCTAAGCACATTAGCAGAGTGCACGAGGCTGCTTGTGCCTCCATTTCTCCTCTCCTTTCCCCTTTAATCCTGCACTCCCCAGACACGATCAAGGACATACTATACCTCATTCCATTTATCCCTCTTTGGGTATGTTTTGTCCTAACTTCATATAACACTTCTTTTAAATCCTTCAAGCTGCAGGGTATGCATTTTTCCCTTGGGAACTATTCCTGGCCTTCCCAAAACAGAATGGAAGGCTTTCTCTCCATGTGTTTCCAATGAAACATGGATATTATCTTCATTCTAGTTCCAAAAGTCTGTTGAAACCACCTGCTCATAGGTGGCTTACCACCAGCTCTTCAAAACCATGAGGGTAAGTGCTTTGTCCACTTATACTAGCTTCATTTGGGGATAAAAGAATATTCAGCATGGAAGAACTAGGTAATTACACATTGAATGGCTGATATGGGGTGGGTTCAACTGCTAAAACCACAAGACACATATATTGGTGCATACATGTGTATATGTGCATGCGTGTGTGTATGTGTGTGTGTGTGTGTGTGTGTGTGTGTGTGTGCACAGTCAAGAAATGACATGGCTTCTCAGCCTAAGGCAAGAGCTAATGTCACAGGTCTAATAAACCATATACATATAAAATATTATTCACATCAGAAAGATACTGACTGCTCTTTCTGATGGCAGAGACCTTAAATGGCAATGGCATTTCTCTGGCTCATAACAGTTGAAAGTGTCTTCAATTACTAGCAAGTAAAAATGTGTGGGGCAGAGCAAATATTTGAGGGGCAGAACATCTTTATTCTGCAGCCTCCTGTGGCCTCTGGTGTCCATGTGTGCCCTTTAGGTGAGGCAGATGCCGTGCTCGGAGGGCAGTTGAAGATGCAAGTGCAGAGCGGCCAGCAGCACGTTTCAAGTCACAAGCTCCTCTTGTGGGCTGCACAGGCTGTGCCTCGGGGGTTTGGGACACTATCCTCTCTGAGCCTCCTCAGTTTCCTTATCTGGAAAATGGCTGCACATTTACTTCCTATATTTCACATTGATGCCCAGATCAAAAGAAGTAACCATGTAAACAACAGAAGGCCATAAGCATGAAAAATAAAGGAATATTTTATACAGATTGAAAAAAGAATAAAAGCATCATATATACCACACACATTCTTGACAATATGTACCTTTTGAGAAGCTGAAGGCTTTTCTGTTTTAGTTTTCTCCTTGGGAGTTAGAGGAGGAGATCGCTCCTTTACCTCTGGAGGTGATTTTCGATACAGTGCTGGAAGGAAAATGGGAATTCACTTAGTTAAAGTCAGGAGTACTGTTCCACCAGAGAACAAACTACAATGGAGGACAGATATTTAATGTAAAGCAGCTGATATTCAATTCTTTGTTGTAACAACAAGTGAAGTGGATGTGTTTGTTAAGGTAGTTAGCAGCCTGACCCACTAGCTATGACTGCAAAGCTTTAATCATCATGACTTTAGGAATGCAGAAGCCATCAATTCACGTACATAGATGCTTATTTCATGATCTCTCAATACGCAATTAGCAGGAACCTGCTGCATGCAAGGTTATCTGTTCGGTAGCCACACAGGCTCTGCACTCAAGGAGAGCCCTGTGCCTAGGGGCAGTCATGCCCTCATATGCAGCATTGTCTGGAGGGCGGTTAACAACAAAGATAGTGATAGCAGGATGGCAAACCCTAGAGGAGGAAGTGGAAGGTGTGTCAAGCCCTGAAGGCAGGTAGAGCTGTGCCCTGAAGGATAATTGGGACACAGAATGAAGAAACACAGACCTAGGAATATACCTAAGATTTAAACTTAAAACCTCTTTTTATAAGATTATAATCTATGTACTCTACTGAGTCTGCATGAAGTGTATGTATGCAAAAAGGTATATGGGAATCTTACAGGGCTAAAATGAAAATCTACTTTGAATGATTCAGAATTCAGAAATTCCGAAGTTCAATTTAAGTGAAATTGCACAATTAAGATTATGAGTTATTAGTTGGATGTGAGGATGGGTTGGTATCATTCCTAGGTTTCTTTATATCTTGAGAAAAGGGTGTCAGATGGGATTAGGAGGAACTGGCTGTTTTATTCCCAGTGGCTTATGGGTAGAATCAGACTGTTCGACAATGGAGTGCTATCTTCTTTTTTTTTGCTGTCCTCCTAACTGCCTCAGTTCTCAGTTGAACAGTGAGTGGAGGAGATTCTGTTCATATAAAAAGTCACTTACATTCGCTTTGCATATGTGGCTTTAGACAAAGATCAAGGACAATTCCTCCCACTAGTTTTAGAATGGAATATGTCACTGAGAGTCATTTTCCCTGCTAATGCCAAAATCGGCAGTTGAATTTTTGTTAACTTTAGGCAACAAATAGGATAAAAGGGAAATAAAAGAACCTGCTGAAGTTATTATATTCTCAGGTATTCTGATTTTTCTCCTTTTCTTACAGTGACTAAAAGAAGCACTAATTATCCCAGGGCACAGTAAGAAATGATGACAATTGCAGGATGGTCATGAGTTGAGGCAAGGAATCAATTCTCTACAAAGCCATCAACCATCATTGCAGGAGGTTTTCAAAATTACTACATAAAGAAATTTTATTAGATTTGAACTCACTGTAGACCACATGTCCGTAGGCAAGCTTATGGGTTTATTTCTGCAGAATATGCTGCTGGGAACGCATGATCTCTTTATACTGCCAAGTAAAAAGAATATCTGCAAATGTTTTCATTGGTATCTGACAGCAACAGACTGCTTCCTAGTCAAAGTCAAAGGCACACTCCAGAGCTCTGGTTAGCAGCAAGCCACTGCCACTGAGGCTCCGTGGCTGAGTTACTTTGTCCTACAACAGCTCCGTTCCACTCTCCCTTAAGCTTTCTCCATTCTGCATTACCGTTATGCCATGAAATGCACCCCCAGGAGAAATTTGTAAGCGATTAGTCATTCCTTAGAGAACAGCTAGCCAGGGACACACAGAAAGCTGAGTGTCCTGATAGAGGAGACAGAAGTGGGTACTTTTTGCAATCCTTGGCACTTTTGAGGGGAGGAGTTTCTTGAAGCAACAGACAAGCTGCAGTAATACCCCAGAGTGGAGCTCTGGGAGGCCGAGGGCGCAGTAGGGGGGCAGTAAAGAGAAGTCACTTCATCTAGATGCAACCTAGCACAGCAGCTAAGTAATACATTCTTCTTCCTCCTTTTCACTTTTTTAAAAATATCCGTTTACTCTCAAAATTCAGAACTTAGACAGGAACTGGCAGTACTTTTGTTCAGTCAAAATTTGGTTTAAATGGGGTTTCAAAGATGACATGAAAATCCACTATTAGGAATAAGTAATTCTTTGTAGAAACAAAAGGCAATACATATGCAAAGCCGTATTTCCTATTTCGCTTTAAATCAGACCAGGCCAGTGTCTGTGTAGGAGCGGGTGGAGCTCGGTGTCTTCATTTCACAGATGAGATCACACGGCTCACTATAAACTGCGGGGCATGCGCTCCCAGGTGGCTTTCCTGACATCAGTCCTGGGCTTTCCCTAGCATGCCACCAGGCCAGCTGCTATTAGGCCATGCTTCGAAGCACTCTCTCTCATGATAGTTCACCTCATTTCTATGCGGACTGTGGCAGCTCTATTTTCACCTTTCAGAGTCTCCCAGCAAAACTAGAGCCCTTAGAATGCCTCATCAGGAATCTTCCCCTGCTCACATTTCTTTTCACAAATGGCGGCTTACTGAGCTTGAGAATGAAACAGCCCGTCCAATCCTGTCTCAGCAGGTACCCGGGCCAGAGCTGAGGTGGACAAATAGGAAGAGAGGGATGTGGTTCTTAAAATGCAGTCAACTGACGAGTCATGGGGTGAGAGGGTGTGAGGGGAGCTGACAAAACCATGGGCAATGGTGGCAGGAGTTGGAGGAGGAGCTGCTGGAGGGTCCCCAGGGATGACCAAGGCAATAGGAGACATCCATCCCATCTCACAGCCTAGTAAATCTCTGGCATACCAGTGCCTCCTCGTTTCAGTTTTCCCATCCCGAGAATGAAAACATTTTTTATAGTGTTAAACGCATGCAATGATTATGTAGACAATACATTACAGGGTAGAAAATGATCAATCTTGGGCTCAGTTTTACATCTTAGTGTATCAGGAAGAGAGCATGCACTTACTTTCACTGGCCACATGATTAGCTGGAAAAAAACCTTCCTGCTGCCCCTTTCCTAAGCTGCCGTACCACCAGTCATGATTATCTTTGAAAAACACTCGGATAATGTCTCCGCGATGGAAGGTTAGTTCATCTGATCGGTTCGCTGTGTAGTCATAAAGAGCCACTACCTAAGAGAGAGATAAGACCACCACAGCTTTATCACAACTGTGCCACAGAAAAAGCCCCAACACTCACTTCCTCTTGCAGAAGAGCAGCTGAAACCAAAGCAGGACTTTGGTAAGTCTGAGGCTGCCTCAAGGGTTGCTAATAGGATCAGGGGTGGTGGGAACACAGCAGGAGAAGCAAGATAAAAGACTGTGGGATTGAGAAATGGTTAAGAGCATTCAACGCACAAAGATTAGCTTCAAAATACCAGATGTTAAAGTTTTAAAGTAAATTACTTTGAAGCAAATAAAAAAAAACCATCACGCACCACCCCATTTCTTAGAAGTGCTTTATATACACCTTGAGGTCCCATTCTCTGTGCTAGCAGATGTGCCTGGAAGAAAAAAAACTTCAGGTTATCAGTTTTACAAAAAGGAAAAGCTCAATGGAACAACTTGATTATATAATTCTCTTATCATTCACTGAAGTCTCTTTTTTGAGAAAAAACTCTTCTTGAAAAACAGCTTTTGATATTTTATAACACCCAAACCTTCTGACCATTCTTTAAAAGCTGATCTTTGCTAGACACAAACTAAGAGGAAAGCTTTTCTACAAGAATCCTCTTCTTCGTTTTGTTACAGTATTCATTCTATTTGACTTGTTTTTCTTACATACATACACACAGTCAAAAATGATGCTGTAGAGCTACACAGTGTTTAATAGGAGAGCTCAGTCCATCTCAGATCGGTTGGGCTATGTGAAGTGGGGCATAATATATGTATGCACATGAATATGCTTACTCTACTGTTTCTTCACTAAACAAGGCTTCAAAATGTATAGGGTACATAACTGTGTAATGAAAGCACACCATTAGAGCCCTCTGAAACTAGGCTGTGGCTTCTTTCAATGAACAACTCTTTCAAACCCAATGTGCCTGGTGCTGTACCAGCAGTAGGATCACTTCTAGAAGAGGTACCTCTCGTGCAGGGTTTGTAGAATAGAGGATAATTAGGAATTAGCTAGGCAGAGTGTGTGGCTGTGCATCTCAGATTCCATAGCATGTTTGAGTTCAGTTAAGAGGAACCCCCAAAGAGTTCAGCATGAAGCCCTGCGTTATGAGTGGCAGTCAAAGGCAGGGGAAGCTAAGGCTCTGGTAAGTAGTGGAGAGTCGATGACAGTGTCAAAGGAGTACAGTGGCTGCCAGAGGCCAGTGTGCTTACTTATATAGCTCCACCTCTTCTGAAGGACAGCAGGAGAATTCAGCTTAGGCGTACCTATCATTTAGAAGTCTCATATCAGGTTTATGTCATCGTGTGGACCCCTACTCATTTAGGTTCATAAAGCTGATATATTAAAGCTTTCACTAAGTTTCCAAAAAGATCTGTTGATGAAAGACTGTCTTGAGAGACAGGGTTCCACAAGGCCTAGCATGAGATTGTCCACTGTAGTTGTTTGGTATAGAAGCACCCATTGACTACAGATACTTTCGTACCATCCAAATGGAGCACATCAGATTACATGCTACTAGTTGCTATTACCGAGCAACTTGTTACACACATTTTGTTATGGACCATGCTGCTCTCTTCCAAAGGTAAAGGTTGAGGCCCCTAGTCCCTAATGTGAATATATCTGGAGAGATAGCCTTTAAGGAGACAAAGTGAAATGATGTCATTTTTTTCTAAGTCACCCTGATCAACAGGGTCACTATGCTTGGAAAAGGAAGGGATGCCAGAAATACAGATGCACACAGAGACAAAGGCTGTGTGAGGAAACAGTGGGAAGGCGATCCTCTTGCTAGGAAAAAGCCCTCAGGAGAAACCAACACTGCTAATATCTTGATCTTGGACTGCTGGGCTCTGAAACTGTGAGAACGTAAATTCCTATTGTTTAAGCCACTTAGTTTGTGGTACTCTGGTATGCAGCTCTAGCAGACTAGTGCATTTCCACAACTCGATGGCTTCAGATAACACACTTACCACCATCCTGCCTTGGAAGTACACATGAGTAATGCCTCCCATGTATCTATTTCCAGCCCTGGTGAGCTTAAGTTCTCTCTACACTATCAGAGCGCTATCTCCTAAGACAGAGGCAATGCCTTTCTCATCAAATTTCACAACTCGAAATCTCAGGAAGGTGATGGTCGTTGATGCTTCAGTCTCTAAAGCAGCAGTTCTCAATCTGTGGGTGGTGACCCATTTGAAGGTCAAAGGACTATTCCACAGGAGTCACCTAAGACCATCTGAAAACATATATTTATGTTTCATAACAATAGCAAATTACCGTTATGAAGTGGCAACAAAAATAATTTTATGGTTGCAAGTCACCACAACATGAGGAACTTTATTAAAGGATTGAATATCAGGAAGACTGAGAACCACTGCTCTAAAGCAATGGAAGTCTTTGGAGCATGTCATCATGATATTACTGACATTTGGCACAGATGTCTACGTGCCTAACAAGGACGGTGTGCGTGTCATGCCAACAGTCTACATTCTGTGAGTAGAGTCTGATCTTTGGCTATGACTCTTATACTGACAGTCCATGACAGACACCATGTGGCTCAGGAGAGTTGGTGGTATGGTATTCAAGTATGTGTTCCTACCTAAAATGCTATTATCTTCTCATTTGAAAATACATATTTGTTTCTGATAATTATAGTTTATTGGTAATCCTCTTTGTTTGAATTTAACAGCAAATTATGAATAAATCCTGACCTATCCATCTACAAGATTTTGTCTGAATGTTCAAGCAAAACTGTATAAAAACTGGCAGGCAAACACCCAGCAAGTGGTTCATCTCATCAGTCTGTTTGGAAGATTCTCACCGAGTGTCTCTGTAACACACCACTTGGTGTCTCACAATGGTCTCTGCATGTGTGTAGGACAGAACTGGTTTTTGCAGTGTGATCCAATTCTTGAGCTGAAAGTGCAATTATGAAATCTTGCTATAAAAATGTTTAAAGATATATGCTAGTGTGTATACCTTATTACCATGTTGATAAAAACAGGTCTGTTAATAAAATCTACAGATGGATGGTCTTTGACTTTTGATAGTGTTAGCTCATAACAGACCTACAAAGTTAAGTATTATTAATTGGCAGCTGCATTTAATATATCTAATCTACCCAACATCATGCCTTATCCTAGCACATGTTAAATTAATTTATATTAATCTTACACTTGGGAAAAACATCTAACTATAGTCTATTCACAAAACTGTCGAATATAATTGAACATTATACTGAAAACAAAATATTTGTATGGGCACCTATCTGTACCCACCTGAGCGAGGACTATGAAGATTCAAAAAAGAAGCTCTTTCTCAGAGCCAAGTAGACTGAACAAAATCTTGGGGGAAGAGTCATGAACAAGTTTTGTTTCTATTTGTTCAGTTTTGAGATCAGGCATTACTATGTTACCCAGACTAGTCTCAAATTTTTGGGATCAAGTGATCTTCCTGCCTCAGCCTCTCTAATAGTGGAACTATAGGTATGACCAACCACACTGAGTTAGGCTGGTCATTTGCTCTCCCTCTTTTTTTTTTTTTTTTGGGTGGAATCAAACACATGACCTTCCATGTGCTTGGCAAGTGTTCTACCAATGAGCTACATCACTAGTCATAGGTCTTTTTTGAGACAGGGTTTTACTTTGTATCCCATGTTGCTGCCTCAACTTGCCAAAACCTTGGCTTATAAAGTGTGTAGTACCCAAATGGGGCTTAATCTTTGGTTATTGATGTATAAAATTTTCAGTCTGAACAGAAACACCTACTAGATACTATTTTGTATCTTTAAAAAATTAGCCTGGTTATTATAAGATGCTAGGTAGAGTGTTCTTTGTAGTATCTTTCAAAAAGTTAAACTTTATAACTGTCTCTGAAGGATTCCCAATGACCCTTGCAGGAACACTGAGCAGTCAAGTTCAGCAGGCTGGTTGTTCCTTGTACTTTTATCTAGAGCAAAATCCAATAGTCAATATTCATAGTGTCCTCAGGCAATTTACCAAGCTAAGTTATGTTGAATAAACTCATACACTTGAGCACATTCTCCTGAAACAGGACTTGAGCTGGCTTCACACCCACTGGAGAACTTTGCTCTGTTAGCCTGAAGCCAGTGAGACACCCAAACTCTACCCCCTCTTTTTGCTTTCTCCTTCATTTACTTGATCTCATGCTTTTGGTCTTCAGAACTGTGAAATACAATTTGCTTGTTTTAGTTACTAACTCAGCAGTAGTTTGTTACAATTCCCCCAGGGAACTACAAACTGTGCATTTTGATTTGCAAATGAGCTGGTTTTTCCTGTATTCCTTTAATGCGAATTGTACCATGTTGTGCCATGCAGTGACCTATATCATCTTGGCCCTTCTTGGGATTACTTTTAAGTTTTGTCAGAATAATTTAAGAGACAATTTTACAGCTAAATTGGCCTCGATGCCAAGATGCCACACAGTGGATAATTCCACTCATTCCTTTCTACTCTGACCATCAGAAATGTGAATTTTCCCAGTGAGTAGATGGGCATTCATCCAAATACTTAAGGGTACATATAATGGTTACTAGTAGGTTATTACCAATTAATAAATACAAGATGAAATTTAAAGTACTTTTACTACTTAAGTTAAATAAACTTTGAGAAAGTTATTTCTAATACTAATTAAGAAATATTATGTCTTCAATATTAAAACAGAAATGAGATAAAACATGCTGAAAGAAAATCTGATAAATCCGAGTTGTAAAGAAACATCTTTAAATATTATGTGGCCCCTTTCCACATAGTGATACTGAATCCTATTTTCCTTTCTGAGAAGAATGAAGAAGAGCATACCCTATTTCTAGGATAGTATGGTGGAACCAGTCTTCTAATTATATGAATACCACATGAGAGAACCCCGAGAGTATTTGTACAAAGTAATCAAGGTCCTGTTACTTTTAACTAGTTTTATCTGGATAATAACAGATAAGGAATCAAAGATAAAGAAAGCAAATAATTGCACACAACATTGTCTTGTACTAGACAATGGCTTTGTCATTGTCACACTTTATAATGCTTGTATATGCACAATCAGGATCACTGTATCAAAGAAGTATTTGTGAAATCATTTGATTTAAATTATGTTCAGATGAAACAACTACGAGTAAATCAAAAGAATATAAAACTAAGAATCAAGAGAGTGAGTTTCCAGTCTTTCCCTGTCTCCAAGGTAAAGTACATGCCAAAAAGCAGGTTTGTATGACTTTAAGCTAAGAGGCTTGTGTAAGATAGTATCTGGTATACCTACCTTTCAGCTTTAGAATTTATTTTTACTACACGTATTCAAATAATTATTCCAAAAGAACAGCACTCATAGATGATTATGATTATGATTATTATTATGATTATTATTATTATCTTTGGC